GGCGTGAACACACTTTATATACAGAGATATGAAAAATTGTGCTCTATATATGTAATAGAATTGTAATGCTTTGTACTGCTGTCGGGTAGTTAAAAAAATTTTAAAAAAAGAAAATTATATAAAAAAGAAAAATAAATAAATAAAAAATAAAACAAGAAAAAAACTAAAAAAAAAAAAAAAGAAACTTAGTTTACATCATACATAACAATTAACTCAAGCTGGGTGTGGTGGTGCACATCTATAATCCCAGCACCTAGGGAGGCCAAACAGAAGGATTGCAAATTCAACTTAGTGAGGCTATAAGCAACCTAGTGAGACCCTGTCTCAAAAAATACAAAGGGCTAGGGATGTGGCTAAGCTCCCTTAGGTTCATTCACTGGTACTACAAACAAATAAACAAAAACCTCAAAATGAATTAAATGCTTAAATATAAAAACTAAGACTATAAAACTCTTAAAGAAAGCATAGGTGAAAGCTTTATGACATTGGATTTGATAGTTATTTCTCAGCATAATACAAAAATCATAGGCAACAAAAGAAAAATAAGTTGTACTATATCCTCAAAAAATTTTGTGCATCGTTCTTCGGAGTTAAAAGGCAACATGTTGAATGGGTCAAAATATTTGCAAATCATATATAATAACATGTTTTTTTTTTTTTTTAAAGAGAGAGAGAGAATTTCAATATTTATTTTTCAGTTTTCGGCAGACACAACATCTTTGTTTGTATGTGGTGCTGAGGATCGAACCTGGGCCGCACGCATGCCAGGCGAGCGAGCTACCACTTGAGCCACATCCCCAGCCCCTAATAACATGTTAATTTAAAAAATGAATAAAAGAACTAATCAAACTCAACAAAAATAACCCCATTGAAAAAAACCACAAGGGACTTCAATAGACAATTTTCCAAAGAAGATACACAGATGGCCAATAAACACTCACTAAAACTAATCCTTATAGAAAGGCAAATCAAAGTCATATTGGGCACCTCATATCTAGGATGGCTGGTAATAAAGCAGAAAATAAGAAGTGTTGTCAAGGATGTGAATAAATAGGAACTTTGGGGCACTGTTGATAGAAATGTAGCATAGTATAGCTGCTATGGAAAAAAATATGGATAGTTCTTCAAGAAATTAAAAATAAAATTATCAAGTAATCCAGCAATTTCTATTATGCATAAATACCCCAAAGAAATAAAAACAGAGGCTTGAACAGATGTTTTTATGCCCATGTTCATAGCAGCATTATTTACAATAGCCAAAAATTCAAAGCTACTCAAATGTCTGTTAACAGAATGAGTATATAGACACAATGACTTATCAGCCTTGAAAAGAAAGGGCATTCTTATACATGTGATAACATGGGTGAACCTTAAGGACATACAAGTAAAATAATCCAGTTACAAAAGAACAAATAATATCTAATGCCATTTATATGAGGTACCTAGAGGAGCCAAATTAAAAAATACTCAAAAGTTCAATGATGATTGCCAGGTACTACGGGGAGGGAAATGAGGGAATTATTACTTTAAGACAACTAAATAAACAGACCCTTTTAAAAACTTAGACCCTTTTAATCCTAATCATTTCCTCAGTAGAATGTTACTGTTTTCTAGTGTTTTAGGGTTTTTTTCTTTCTTTCTTTCTTTTTTTTTTGAGGGGGGGGGATGAGGGTAGGGAGGTAAAGTGGGTGGATTTTAAAATAATTTTATTGTATTAAGTTTAAATCAACAAATTATAGTTGTAAGTATTTATAAGACACCTTAGTTTTTGACCTTAATAGTAGTTGACATTTTCTTCCTTGTCTTGTTATTCTTTCTCTTCCTCTTCCTCCTCCTCCTCCTCCTCCTCCTCCTCCTCCTCCATTATGTTATGTAATAATCATGTAAGTACATGTTTAAATTTACTAATATCCTTATTTTTGATTGCTTCTAGTATCACATTCCTCAATCTGAGTTTGTGTTTTTTGAAGTATACCCTTTAGTACTTTTCTGAAAGGATCTGTAAGTTACAGCTCACTCAATCTTTTTATGAAAATGTCTTTAACACATTACTGTATCTTAATTTAGATAGATGGATATTATGGTTTGGATCTAAAAATGATCCCAAAGAACTCATATGTCAGGCAGTGTTGAGAATTTAAAAGACTGGATTATGAGAGTTGTAAACTCATCAGTAGATTACTCTATTTGTTGGATTAATAATTTGAATGGCCTCCTGGGTGATAGCTGCATTGGGAACATAGTCTTGGACTATATCTCTTACTTGCCCTTTCCCTTCTTTGTGCTTCTTGGCTGTCATGAGCTGACAACTGTCCTCTATCACATCCTGCTGCCACAGTGTTTTGCCTTGCCTCAGGTCTAGAGCAATGAAGTTAGCCAACCATGGACCAAACCTCTGAAACCATGAGCCTGAATAAACTTTTCTTACTTGTTGTTGTAAAGTATTTTGGTCACAGCAATACAAAGGTGACTAATACAAAGGTGACTAATACCTGAATAAACTTTTCTTACTTGTTGTTGTTAAGTATTTTGGTCACAGCAATACAAAGGTGACTGATACAGTAGGAAATATTGTATTGATAATTATTTTATCTCATTACTTGTAAGTTATGATTCCATTTGTTCTCACTGCTATTTGGTAGTATTAATATTTCATCTGTCAATCTAATTGTCATTCTTTGGTAGATAATCTTTTTATATTTTTGCAGTACTGGTGATTGAACCTTAGGACCTTCAGCATTCCAGGCAAGTGCTCTATCACTAGGCTGCACCCGCAACCTCTTAGATAATCTTTTTGTGGGCTGGGTATACAGCTCAGTTGATAGAGTGCTTGCCTCACCTGTTTCGATACACAGCAACACACACACACACACACACACACACACACACACCCCACAAAAAAAATTTTTTGGGGGGGTGTTTTCAATGTTTTTAAAAATCTATTTGCCTTCAGTATTCCATAATGTAACTATAGTGGGTATAGAAGTGGAGCTGGTTTTATGTTTTCAGGACTAAATAGCCTCCTGATTCCAAGGATTCAAGCCTTATATTATTCTTGAAAAATATTAAAGCTGTAACTCTTTGAATATTGTTTTTCAGCATTTTTGTCCTTTCTTTTATTCTCTCATGTTATACGGTATTGAACCTACTCATTCCAGTGTTGGTACTCTTCTATATCTTTCATCTTTGTATCTTTTCATACTGGATGGTGATGAACTTCTTAAGCTCTTTTTCAGGTGTAACCTTCTTTTCAATGTATGTAATCCATTTGTTCACTGTATTTTCAAAATTTCAATAAATTCATTTCTGAGACTTGTTTGTATATATCTGTTTTTTTTTTAAATTTTTTTGTGTGTCTTTAGTAATTTTAAACATACTTATTTGAAGCAGAAGATCTCATATTTGTTAGGAATTAATTTTCCCCCTTTATAATTTTTTTCATTAATAAATACTTTGTTACAATACATTGTTTGTTGGAATTTTTGACTGCTAGTTATAATGGACAGTTTCCTCATTTTGTTTATATTATTGGATTGTGAGCTCATTCTTAGTGAGATTTGTGTGTGTGTGAGAGAGAATTGTATCTGGCCAAATTTAAGCATTTGTCCTCCAAAGTAATTTTGAATTTGCTTTGCTTCATAGAGGCAAACAAATTGACTATAGGGCCAAGATTTATGCCAGTTTTTGGCTTGAGAACATATGGACTTCAGAAGCAGTGTGAGTTAGAATCCCAAATATTAAGATCTTGTGATCTTAAATTAGGAATTTTTATTCTGCAGGAGAAATATATTTCACAAATCAGCCACAATAACAAGTCTTCTTGTCATTCTTGACTGTGTGGCGATTTTTATAATTTTCCATTTCACTAAATGATGTACCTCTTAAGGCAAAGGGCATATAATATAAGGTAGCCTCCCTTCAAAGTCCCTACTTTACATAATCTCATGGGTCTTTTCATTTTGTTCCTTATGTATTTTAAAATCTAAGTACCTAGAAAATGAAAACCAGGAACACTCCAACCCCATCCCAGCTCTAATGCTTATCACTTTCCTGGTCAACCATTTATTGCTTATTGACCCCTCAGAATTTCTTTTTTTAAGAGTTGTGTTTTTATATTTATAAGAATCGCTGTTGTATTTTTAAGAGGTCATAATGAAGAATTTTTAAGTTATGTCAACTCAGTGTTGTCAAATTAAAACCTATCCTAATTATTGAGATTAGTAATTCAGTGTGTAAAATCAAGAATAATAAGCCTTGTTTACCTTGAGAATGTTCAGTTTTTGCTATGCTTTTAAAAAATATAAAGTGCCATCTCAAGGTACCTTAGATTGTATGTACTGAGGGTCTTTTTTAGTTAACCTAGTTTTCTAATTTAACACCTAATCTGCTATAGTGAATTATATCCACAATTTTGGTGGGGCAGTGTGTGTGTGTGTGTGGAAACTGTGGTTTTGAAGTATATACTTTTTCTCCTTTATAATTTTTTCATTAGTAAATACTTTGTTACATTGTCATTGGCATTTATTTTTCATAGGTTACCATAAGTTTAAACATAATCTTCAATATTGGCCTAAATTTTGTTCATTGTCCCCTCCCCCCTCTAATTGTAACATTTTCACGGTTCCATTTATACATATACAAACACACTAATTATACAGATGTTAATAAGTCAATATTTTAAACCTAATATTCAGTTTATTATTAACAACTGTGATGATTCCAGTCATATTGTTACCCTAAATCTAGTCAACTAAGTAACATCTACAATAGAGATTCTATAGTATTATGTAATCTGAAAAACCACTAACATGGAGATTATACAAAATCTTACCTATATATAAGTTTCCTATATAATGGGAGACTAAATTCAGATAATGACAAAGATGTAGTAGTTGTGAGGTAACATTGTCTGTGGTGAATCTCAAGTGTAATTTTATAATATATAATTATTTTGTTCCTAATATCTTACAGTAGATTAATAAAAATGTAAATTTCTTCAGGTCCAGTCCTCAGTGGCAGTTGGGACCCCAGATTACATTTCTCCTGAAATCCTTCAAGCAATGGAAGATGGAAAAGGCAGATATGGACCTGAGTGTGACTGGTGGTCTTTGGGGGTCTGTATGTATGAAATGCTGTATGGAGAAACACCATTCTATGCAGAATCTCTGGTGGAGACATATGGGAAAATTATGAATCACAAAGTTAGTATATATTTTACTTTTTTAAACCAGATTATTATGATAAATAATATAGTTTAATTAAATGGAAATAGAAAATATTTTTCTAAAAACAATGAACTACATTTGTTAGTAGGTACAAGACAATCCATAAATTATACATAAAGTCATTAGTTATAGCTTTCTACTATATTTTATTTGGAGACGCTAATGAGTAGGAAATTGAATGGTCTTTTCAACTGAATAACAAAGGTCAATGGACAATTTTAGTCATTGCTCATGACACTGTGCATGGATTTATGATTAGAATGTATGTAAAAAAAATCTCAACCATAGTATTGACAAATGAAATGCAAGTATAAATAAAAATTAGATGCCTTTTTTTCTTGTCAAATTTTCAAATTAAAAAAAAAGTGTACTCTACTAAATAATTTATTGTGATGAGCATTATGAGGTATTTTTGATAGGAATATAAATTGATGTAATCTTTCTGTCTGGAAGCTTACAGGCATGCACCTAAATGCCTTAACAAATGGTTAGAACTTTTCATTGAGCAACTTTAGTTTTAGGAATCCACCCAGTTGAAATATTTAGAAGGACAAAGATGTGTATACAAGATAATCTATTTTGATATTATTCAGGATCATGAAACATTAGAAACAATACAAATGTATGACAGGAAGAAATTTACAAAAACTTTAATCTACTTAGTACAAAGTGAAATAAGAAAGATTGTACATAAGAAGAGGAAAGGTTTAGTTTGAAGAGTTTCAGAAGATTGTGAGCACTTGCAAAAATCCTACATATGAATAGGAATATCCCCCAAAAGGAATGAGAATCTGTTCTTTTGTTTTGGTGATGCAATTATGATTACTTGCTTTACAAGTGTATAAATCAGTTTTATAGAAGTTTTTGTTCTTCCACCTACCTGCAAAGATAGTGCTGTAAATAGCTACAAAGAAATATTAGTTAGTTGTAAGAAAAATCAGGGACAGCATTTAAGAAATCACTGTAGGGCTGGGGTTGTGGCTCAGAGGTAAAGCGCTCGCCTAGCATGCATGAGGCACTGGGTTCAATCCAGCACCACATAAAGTAAAATAAAGACATTGTGTCCACCTATAACTAAAAAATAAATATTAAAAAAAGAAATTATTGTAGTGTAACATGGTATTTAATAGCACAGTTCTGGAGTGAGATAACTCCAGTTCAAAATCCATTTCTGTTATTCTACTAGTTGAGAAAATTACTTGGTTTCCTCTTCCATAGTAGTAGTACATACCTAAGATGATAGTGTTAAAGACTAAATGAGTTAAAGGGGTAAATCACTTTTAATAGCATCAGATACATATTACATTCTTTAAAAATGTTTAATATTAATAAGTTAGTAATTAGTTTGTATTGTATAGGAAAATTATCAACCATCTACATCTTATTGAGATATTGAGTTGAATTCTCCCACTCTTAATCAGTCCTTTTCATTCTAATAACAGTGTAAGGTTTTATAGTATTTACTCTTTCTGTAGCACAAATGTGACTAAGTCACATATAAAATTAAAAGTTCTTTTAGGGAAATGATCTTTTCTTTATTCATCCCTATATCTCCTTTAGTATTAGTACTATTTCCCAGCATACACTTACCACGCGTTTTAAAAATGAAACGTATTTTTAAGAAAAATATACAAATCAATTACACTACTTAATAAGCTTAATATTGATCTATACTCATTTTGTTTCTGTCATTCTTTGTATAGGAGAGATTTCAGTTTCCAGCCCAAGTGACTGATGTATCTGAAAATGCTAAGGATCTTATTCGAAGACTTATTTGTAGCAGAGAGCATCGACTTGGTCAAAATGGAATAGAAGACTTTAAGAAACATCCATTTTTTAGTGGAATTGATTGGGATAATATTAGAAACTGTGAAGCACCTTATATTCCAGAAGTTAGTAGCCCAACAGATACATCAAATTTTGATGTAGATGATGACTGTTTAAAAAATTCTGTAAGTATGACATTATGAAGAAGTTCTGTTCCTGTTTCTTTTAAATATGCTTATAAAGTAATTTTTTGGTTTACCAATGTTGTACTAGGACCACCTTATCAATTATTAATCAAACAATAGTCAAGACTTCCAGTATGTAATAGGGAAATGAAGAGTTAACTGGGGCCAATGTAGTTATTCACAATTGAGTAAAATTCAAAGACTTAACTTCTTTGATAAGTTATTCAGTAGATTTCCTAAGAAGAAGACAAATTGCATGCTTTCTTGATTGTAAAGTGGAGGAGTTGGGAAATCTCTCCCTAAAAACCAGTCCTGAAACTAGTCAAAACTGTCAAAAACCATTTAATGGCTTAATATGTTAACCAAAGGGAAATAAATTGAGAATTTATTCATGAAACACTCCTTAGCTTTGGTTAAAATTACACATAGCACATCCTCCATCCTCATTATCTGCTTGGTTGTGACACTTGTACTAGTAGAATGGTTCTGGATGTAAAAGACAGCATTTGCTGCCAGAAGGGGAAGACTCAATTTGGAGAGCTAAATAACCACACCAATCATGTTGCTGCAAAAAATAGCAAACTTGGTAGGAAATGAATGGGGGAAGTCCAGAGCCTTACTAGCCTGAGGCTATGACTCTGCTTGAGGAAAATGGCAGGCAAATGAACTAGAAAAATATTCTACCATTCTTACAAGGATAGCATGGCGTGTTGATCTCTGTTGTGAATCATCAGATTATATTAAAATTTAGGAAAATAAGCATGTAAAATTTGTAGATTTTTTTGCCTTTTTACTTCTCTTTTTGAGTTTTGTTTTACTGAATTTTACTTCTTGTGGTTTTTATTCTGTACTAAATTTTTTAATATTTATTTTATATGATTTTTTACTGTTCTTAATATACTCAAGGCAGGTAAGCACTTCTCTTACACTTTCAAAACTTCACAAGAAAAAACTAGATAGACTTTCCTTGCATCCTTTACAAAATTTTTGTTCTACTGGGAATTGAACCCAGGTTTTTGTATATGTTAGACAAATACTGTACCACTGAGTGTAGAACTATATTCCCAGCTCTTGATCTTTTCTTTGATTTGCAGGGAGGAAGGTATAGAAGGGATTGAATTCAGGGGCACTCAACCACTGAGCCATATACCCCTAGCCCTATTTTGTATTTTATTTAGAGGTAGGGTCTCACTGAATTGCTTAGCTCCTCCTTGTTGCTGAGGCTGGCTTTGAACTTGTGATCCTCCTCTCTCAGCCTCCCAAACCGCTGGGATGACAGGAGTGTGCCATCATGCCTGATTTTTGAGAAATAGTCTTGCAGAGTTGCTCAGTGTGGCCTTGAACTTGTGATCCTCTTGCCTCAGCCTCCTGAGTAATTACAGTAATTACAGGCATGTGCCACCTTGCCCAGCTCCTCACCAATATTTTATTATTAGAATTATATATTATATTCACTGTTAACAGAAATTATGAGTCATTCCAAATTAAATTTATGGTACAGTTAATTCTAATTATTCATGGTATTATATTTTATAAAGTTATTGTGAACACTATATTAGCTAACATTGATTCATCACTCTTAGAAAGACATGTTTAGGTTTTTGTGGTCATAACATTTTCATGAACTTACCAATACCTAATTGTGTTTTATGTGTGATGCTATTTAAAGACTCCTCATATATTGTTAATTCATTGGCATTGAACTTATGTTTAGCAACACTGTAATTCATGGCCTGAATGAAGCTTATTTAAGATGTTATTACGTCTGTTAAGGTACATTACAGCTTTCTCACTAGATAGAGCTGAGTGCAGTGGCACTTGACTGTAACCCCAGCAGTTTGGGAGGCTGAAGTGGGAGGACTGCAAATTTGAGGCCAGTCTGAGTAAATTAGTGAGACCCTCATCAATTTAGCCTTGACTTGTCTCAAAAAATAAGTAAGCCAGGCGCCATGTCACACACCTATAATCCCAGTGCTTGGGAGGCTGAAGCAGGAGTATCATGAGTTCAAATCACTGAGACCCTGTCTCTAAATAAAATATAAAATAGGGCTCAGTGGTTGAGTGCCCCAGTTAAATCCCCAGTACGCACCCCCCTACACACCAAACAAACAAACAAAAGAAAAGGGCTGGGGATGTAGTTCAGTGGTAAAGTGTCCCTGGTTGAACCCCAGTACCAAAAAAAAGAAATACTAGACAGAACATCAGTGCTGTACTTGGGAGTCATTTAAACAGTGGAATCTCTCACAAAAGGTACAAAAATGTAAGAAACATAAATGTTTATATATGTAGTGGATGTTTGTTTACAGTGTGAAAGCTTGAATGACTTTAGGTGTTCAAGCCATGGCTAGGAATCTGAGCATAGAGCAGCTTAAATTTTGCTCTGCTCTGTACATCTTGAATGGTTGCAAAAACACTGAGTGTTGCTTTTGAGTTTACAAATTAATTGTATCATCTAGAAAAATTGCAAAGGCAGAATATATCAGTAAATGACTGTACTGTTACTATCAGATTTTCAGTCTTCATTTTCATTTATTATAATTTTATAGTACCAGTGTTCATGATGTAAATTTTTTATCACTTAATATCTGTGCCAAAATTACCAGTGTTCCTAAATGGAATAGTCACATATTTCCATTGACAGTTAATATTTATAGCCCAACATACAGGTCATGACTATCTGTTTTTTACCAGATTTTTTTCCCCTTCCTTTAGGAAACAATGCCTCCACCAACACATACTGCATTTTCTGGTCATCATCTGCCATTTGTTGGTTTTACTTATACTAGTAGTTGGTAAGTTTCAAAAGTTAATATAATTTCGACAATTTACATGGATTTTTAAAAAATATATAATATATGAGAGAGCCTTGGTAATTTTTTTAAAAATATAATTAATCTACAGTTGGGAAAAAGCTAGATATAGAAAATGAATAGTATACACAAGAAGATTAACTCATTTTAGAGAGGAAACAGTAGGACCACTGGAGAGCTCATAATCTGTTATCAGGAATTGAAAGAGTCCTACCATGGGGTATTGAATAATATTCTTTAGATGTCAAGCACCAGAATTTTCAGCTTATTGATGTTACCATCCTTTAACCAATTCCTCACTGCCTTTATACCTTCTTGTTCCTCCTCACCCAATTTAGATTCCACTGAGAATGAGTATAATCACTCCTTACATGCCACTTCAGTTCCCTTGGCCATCTCTCATTCTTTTATGCTTGCTTTGCTAAGTCAACATCAATTATTAAAAGTAAATTCTGTCTCTGCCTATGTAGTTCAGAGTGATAAGAGAAATTCAAGTTCACCAAATTCAAATGCCCTATGTTGTTGTTTGGCATATATTCAAGTTCACCAAATTCAAATGCCCTATGTTGTTTGGCATATATACTATTTTACCCTAGTGTGCTCACTCTTCCACTCACCTGGATAAAAATTTCATATTTCACATTTGCCTCCAAAACCTCAATCATCCTCACTCTCAGCTGATTATCTTGCTTTCTGTTTCACTGAGAGGATTGAAACCAACAGGAGACAACTTCTGCAAACTTTTACTAGATTTTCTACCTGCATACCTTTGGATTCATATGTGCTTTTCTTTTCATAGATAGGCCATGTAAGCTTGCAAGTAAGGTCAACTCGTTCTATCTCTACTGTCTAGCACAGTGCACTGCTCAGTTTTATACCATAATTTTTCCCCATGTGTCATCTCTATCAGCAGATAATTTCCCTTGGTTTATAAAAACACTGTTCGTCTTCCTTCTTAAAGCAAAATAAAAAATATCTCTGGATCCCATTTGTTACCAACCTTTTCTCTGTTCTACATATAGCAAAATTACTTCTGACTGTTGACTATTTGTGTTTTTCATTCTGTTCTTTCTTGAATCCAAGATGGAGATTTATTCCCTGTCACTTCATGCATACTGCTTTTTTATCATGTTTTCATTGTCTTCTGTGTTGCTAAATCTAGTGATCACTTCTCATTCCTAGTGTTACTGATTTTGCCTTGTCTCGTCTTCTTTCTATGGCTACAGATCACTAACCTTCTTCTCTTCACGTCTAGAGCACTTTGCTGATTTTCTTTTTTACTTTTCTGGGTACTCCTCGGTCTCCATACCTGATTCCTCCTAATCATCCGGATTTCTGAATATCAGAGTGTTCTAGGGCTCAGTCTTTGGATTTCTTTTTCCCAACTTCTTCTTTATTGTTTTCCCAGATATTTGGGCTATGCATCTGTAGCTGAGACCTCTTTTCTCTCTTCTACTTCAAATTTATCTTAATCCTACATAATATGTTCATAATCTCCTTTGTTATATTTTTCTGAACCTGTCCCAGTATCCTGTTGTAAGTTAAGTCAGAACATGTCACTCCCCTGTTCAGGACCAGTCCCCTTCACTGCTCAACTTCAGTGACTTTGTATCTTTACTCCAAACCAAAGTTCTTACTAGGCCCTATATAACTGGCTCTCTTTTATTTTTCCTGATTTTATTTCCTTCTGTTCTTCTCCTTATTCTACTCCATTCTATCCACACAGAACTCTTTTCTGACCCAGGACCCTTGCATTCTTATTCCAGTTGCCTGAATGCTCTTCCTTCTAATATACCTTTTGCTGGCCTCCTACACTTACTTAGCTTTTCTCATAGTTGTTGTCACAAGAGTAGCTTTTCTGATCCCTTCATCTAAACCTTTATCTCTTCTGCCTCAAGACTTCATTTCTCATTTCCCTGCTTCATGTTTTCTTTTTAGCATTTAACACTTTAATGTATGGAATATTTTATTTATTTATCTTCTTTCTGTTCCTGTAACAAAATTTTAGCTCTACATTGACAAGGATTTCTATTTATTTTCTTTATTGCTGAATGTCTATCACCTCTATTATTTTTAATTAACTTCTATTGAATTAAGGAAAGCACCTTTTGAATTTTAGATTTCAAATTCTGGTAAAGAGCACTATGGTTGTTAGTTTTGACTGCTATTATACTTAACTGTGGTCAAACCACTAATCCTTCACCAAATTTAATTTTATAAAAATTAGTGCTTTCTAAAATTTAGAACCATTTGGTGGATTTAAGTTTTCATTCAAAAAATACTTTTAACAGTGTCTTATGGTAATTTTATAAAAAGTATTTTTTACTGTCATTCTACTATAGATATTCAAATCCATGTGTTAAATTTCAAAAGGTAATTCTTTTTCAGACTTTTTATTGCAGTGTGAACCCACATATATATTTTTTCCCTTCAGTGTTCTTTCTGATCGGAGCTGTTTAAGAGTCACAGCTGGTCCCACCTCACTGGATCTCGATGTTAATGTCCAGAGGACTCTTGATAACAACTTAGCAACAGAAGCTTATGAGAGAAGAATTAAGCGTCTTGAACAGGAAAAACTTGAACTTAGTAGAAAGCTTCAAGGTATATATATTTAAGGATAATGTTTTCCCTGTTAAAATTGGACCCACAGTGTCAGGAGCTATTACAAGTGGTTGTTTTATCTTCAAAAGAAAATCTTTTAAGTGATAAAAATTCAAATTGTAGAAATTTATAAAGAACACAGTATAATATCATTTATGTAAAATCATACAGTTAACGGTAAACAACAACAAAATAGTATGTCTTCCATGGGTGTGGTATATAAGTGTGTAAAATATGTGAGAATAAATACCTCTGTGAAGAGAGGAATGAGGACTCTTCTTGCTTTTATAATACTTTAATGACTTTTCATATCATTTTTTCCTCAATCCTTAAAGAATTCTAGCTCTTGTCCTACTGTCACTGTTTATATCATTATTCCTATTTCAATGATGGGTGATTTAAATATATATATAGGTAAAACTTCTAAGATTCTTAGTTTCCTAATTCTTCACTTGTAAGAATCTTGAATCTTCACCCTACTTTATTTGCTTTGTCTGATACTGGCAAGATATTTTCCACAATTACAGTAATTTTATTAATCTCAGTTTTAAGCAACTCCTCCATTATCTCCTCCTTGTAATTTTCTAATGAATTCTCTCTGGTGCCTTACCTCCAACATTTATTCAGTTCCACTGTTATCAGAAATTCTGTGTCATCCTACAATCATCATTTCACTATTTATCTTACACCTTCTTTTTTCATTATATGATCTGTGATAATCATACTCTTATATCTGCCTTCAAATCTGTTGTTCTCCTTTCTGTTTGTCAAACTGCTTTTTAAATGCAGCTTTGCAACTACATGTGTGGAGCTCAAGGTATCTTTCTTAAAATACAACATACTGACTGGTATCACTTCATATTCATGAACACTAGTCTCAAGTCAGCTCTTAATCCTGCCCAATAATCCTTTTGTGCCTTAGTCTGTTTCCCTGCCCTGTCTTGCAAAATCTGGTGACTGTTTTTCAGTTCTTATCTTTTTACCTGTCAGCAGCATTTGACCCAATTAAGCATTTTTTCCTTAGAAAACACTTTCCTTTTTTGACTTCTGGGGCACTTTATCCAGTTGGTTTTGTTTTTCCTTAGAAGGTGTCCTCATTCTCCTTTGCTGATTGCTCCTTCAGTTTGACCTTTGAATGTTAGCGTATGCTAGACTATAACATGTTTTCGGTTTTCAAAAGAGAAAACCTTACTCCCTGTCTCTCAATTCCTACATCTGATTTATCAGCATATCAGGTCAGCTTTGCTGTTGTAGTAGATTCAGAATCTTTTTTACTTTGTTTTTGCCATACTGGGTATCAAACCCAAAAATCTGATTATCATTCACTGTGGGGTAGGGTTCTTAACCATGCTTTAAACCATATCATATCTATCTATCTCTTATCTATCTATCTATCTCTCCCCCCCTCTCTGTCTTTCAACATCTTACTGCTCTCCCTTTTTTAAACACCCCTATATGCTTTTCCACAGTTATTTTCAACATAACAGCTAAGTAATTGTATCAAAATGCAATTTAGATCATTTTATTTCCCTGAATTTTCCCCAGTCCTAATGGCTTTCCTTCTTATTCACAATAATAACCAAATTCATTTTAATGGCCTAAGACCATGTATGATCTGGCTTCTTATTTCCTTTCTGAAATCATTTCCTAGTACTCTTTCCCTTGTAAGTTCAAGCCATTCTGGCTCCTTGCTGTTTTTGTCCCCCCCACCATAAGCCAGGTAGATCCCTGACATTAGGACTTTTGCATTAGCTATTGCCCTAATGGCCTTGCTTTGATATAATGGCTTGCCTCTCTACTCAAAGCTCCTCTCTACTTGATTGAGGTTGCCCATGATGTCTTTCCTGACCATTCTATTTATAATTCACTCTCAAAGTGCATTTTCTATCTTTTCAGATTTATTTTCTCTAAAATGAAGGATGTAACATACAATTTAGTTTATATACTTTGTGAATAAAGAAATGTATGTATGAACAAATAATCAAGAACTTATAACTCCTAAGAGAGAACCAAAGTTGTTTACAATTATAAAATTTTACTATCATTATTTTAGAGGTCCATTAGAGAAAAGATTACAGACACCAGTAGCACCAACTGTTTTCCGTTTTTCAATATATACTAAAATCTCTACATGTGAATTACTTCCCCTTTGTGACTCAAGATTTTTTTGTTTATTGATTATTTAATATGGTGATATACATATAATAATATACACATTTTGCTTTTATGTGTATGAACAATGAATGTTTATGTACATGTGGACTCCTATAACCTTCACCCACATTGGTATGTAGAATGTTTCCAGCATAGCAAAAAGTCCCCTTTCAGTCCCTGTCTCAGTTTGTGTCCTACTTCCCTGAAGTAATCCCTGTTCTAATTTCTTTCACCATTCATTAATTTTTACTTGTTATTGAACTTTATATAAGTGAAATCATGTAGTATGTGGTTCTCTTTTGTATCTGTCTTCTTCCATTTAACGTGTTGTTTTTGAGAATCATTCATGTTTTCTACATTTCAAAAGTTTATTCTTTATTTTACTATTGTTTAGCATTCTGTATATGTAAATAGTAAAAATTTATGTATCCAATCTATTGGTAGTAGACATTTGTGTAATTTTCAAAAATTGACTATTATGAATAAAGTTCTTGTGCATATTTTTATATATTTCTTTTGGTAGTCGTATATACATATTTCTCTTGGATATACACCTGTAGAACTTCTTGGTTTTGGGGAAGAGAGTTTTCAGCTATGGAAGATATTGTCAAAAAGTTTTCCAAAGTGGTTATATCAGTGCATGGTTTCACGAACATACGAATTTCACTTCCTTCAATCCCTATCTTCAGAACTGGTTTCTGTCAGCTTTTTCCACTCATATCTGTTCTGTATGATGGTGTCTTGTAATTTTAATTTTAATTTTCCTAATGAATGATGACATTGAGTATCTTCATATATTTACTGTTCATACATCACTAATAAGAATATCAAGGAAAAATGTTAAGCTTAGTGATCAATGTTTCTATCCAGCATAATTTTTCTTCAGCCTGAAAAACTTCCTATTGTATTTTTTTAATAATGTAAGTGTGTTGTGACAAATTCTTTTTTTTAAAAGATTTTATTTGTTTAAAAGTGTTCTTAGTTTTGTCTTCATTTTTGAAATATATTTTTGCTGTTTTAGATTTCTAGCTTGGCGGTTTTTTCTTTCAGAACTCTGTAGTTATTGTTCCATTGTTTTCTAACTTCATTGTATTTCTTTAGAAGTTAGCTGTTAAGCTTCATCTCTTGAAGATAATTTATCATTTTGCTCCTTTGGCAGCTTGTTCTTAGTGTTAGTTTTAAACAGTTTGACTATAATGTGTCTAAGCATACCATTCTTTATATTAATATAAAATCCTGTTTGGAATTCACTGAGCTTCTGCAATCCTGATTGATGTCTTATATCAGTTTTAGAAAATTCTAAACCATAATCTCTAGATAATTTCTTTTGCCCTATTCAGTCTTTCTTTCTGAGACTCCAAGAAGATAGGGCAGATATGTGAATAGCTGTAATAAATAGAAAATGGCTAGATCTATTTTCTAGATCCATTAGCGGATCCAGGAGATTTAAGGAGGGACAGGAGCAAGGATGCTTACTCTATCCATATGCTGAAGCAGGCGGTGTATAGAAGGAAAATTAACTTGCCTTAATGTCCATTGGGTATTTTGCAAGCTCATTTTCTACTCCTAATTTAGATGCCTTAAAAATATTAAAAATAGTGGGTATTATTTTAAAATAAATACAGAAAGAATCAATTTGTAGTATATTTTGAACCCAAATAAAAAGAAATATGTAAGAAATAATTATTGGATATAAATTTTGAGAGTTGCACAATATATCTTATACTTTAATTCAAGTTAACAAATACTTTGATAACCATATATCATTGACCAACAAAATCATTATATCATTAACTGTATAATTTAACTGTATGTATTAAATATGTATTAAATACAAAACAGATGGTAATGATTTACACTAACCCACAGAGAGTTTGATAAGGGTGAGACTTACCTTTTGGGAACCTTTCCCTATGTAGCAGAAACCTATTTTAGAACAAAGGGTGGTTTCATTTCTGACATATTCCCAGACATCATTGTGATGATATCTGGGAATAAGCCTCAATAGAGTTAATGTTTCTTCAGTTCCTTGCATTTTCTGATTAGAACTGTAGGATAAATTAATAAATCTATTTCAACTAAATTGGGGAACCAAAGTCATCTATAGATGGGCCTCAACTTTCATACATGAAATTTGGAAGGCTAGCACTTCCATAGATGATATAATAGCATGTTTGAATCTTCTTTTGTACACCAGATTCAGTTGTTCATGTATCATCTGACAGATGATCCTTTTGAATTATCACATGCTAATGCTCTTTTAGTACAGAGTGAATAAATAGTTGATTCACTGGCAGAGTACACCAAGAGTACACGAGTACTTAAAATGGAAAATCTCATGTATTAGAAGGTAGATTCATATATAAATATATATTATACATATGTAAATAATTTAAAGATATGCAATGGAATTTTTATGACATAATGCTCTTTTTTGAATGGATAGATGTTCTGGTCTATAAAATTATGTAAAGATTTTTCTACAAAACTATTAATATTCGTTTTTAAAATTTAAAGTACTTTGATAATTTTCTTTTCTTTTTTTTAAGAGTCAACACAGACCGTCCAAGCTCTACAGTATTCAACTGTTGATGGTCCACTAACAGCAAGCAAGGATTTAGAAATAAAAACCTTAAAAGAAGAAATTGAAAAACTAAGGAAACAAGTAGAAGGTAAATTTCTGTGGTTCATCATTGATTCACTTTAGTAGATTTAAAAAACTGGTTTATTTATACACAGAACATCCATTGAGTCCCTGTATTGTGTTGTAAGTTATATATCAGTGAGGAAAAAGCAAATAAAAATGGTTTTTGTTTTCAAGGAATTCATATTTTGGTGTGGGAATCAGAAATACAAGTAGTCATTATAACACAGGTAAAGAGGCTATGGGAAAAAGTTAATAGATGTACATGAAGTGTACATAGGAGGAGCACTTGTGTTTAAAGAGAACAAAGATGATTTTTTGAAAGACCTACTTTTATTTTTGGAAATCAAGTTGGAGTTTGGCAAATCATATGTATGAACAGGGAAAAGGGAATTAGACTGAAGAAGTGGAGGTACTCTGTATAGAATGGAACTGCATATACATAGGCATGAAGATTTGTGAAAATTTATTTTCTTTGTAATATTTTATTTTTCAGTTTATTACTAAGATTAATTAAAATTAGTTTGACATGTCTGTTTTATTCATTCATGGATTTTTCAACAAATATTTATTGAATACCAGGTGTTGTTTCTTATTTTTGAGTTTAAAAGACAGAAATCCTTGCCTTGCCTGGATGGAGGTCAAACAGTGGGGAAAAAAAACTCAATAAATATGGAAGTGTATGAATGATAACAGTATGTTAGAAAGTGACAAGTGCTTTAAAATAGTGTAGAATAAGGAGATGAGTCAGATGTGCAGGTGAAGAATTTTATCATTTTAAGAAGGTAGGTCCTAGTATAGGCCTAATTGAGAGGATGACATGTTTGCACAAACTTAAAAGTAGGTAAAGGGCTTCGCCATATGTAATTTTGGAAATACATGTTCCAGGCAGAAGGACCAGCCAGTACAAAGCCCTAAAATCAGAATGTGCTTAATGTTGTAAACAGAGGACGGAATGGATAGGGAAGACTAAGTAATCAGAGAGAATGGAAAAAAATGAGATTAGAGAAGTAAATCCAGAGTCTTAGTCATTACTATGAGGTCTTTGGTTTTCATTCGGAGTGAAATAACCTTTTGCAGGGTTTATAGAGACATCACATGATGTGTGAATAAGTGGAGGGCAGAAGAAAGAGGGCACTATCTTAGAATGGGGTTGGGCCTCTCCAGAAATGCAGGTTAAGGCAAAAATAAATGAAAAAAAAGAAGAACTGACACAGGGTCTTCTATTTTAAAAAAAGATTTAAGGTGCCACATTAATATTTTGTTTTTATTAAATAAATGTTGATATCTTAAATTTGAACATAATGTATAAATGCTATTTTTTTTATAAAAGTAGTTTACTTCCTAAGAAATGTCTCTTTATCAAATTTCTTTAAATTTATATTTCTAAAAATAGGTTAGTAACAGTATAAGCAGAATCATTTACTTTGATTTGGTACCAATGATAAAATATTTACAGTGAAACTGAATGTCTTAGAGTTGTGTGACACTATAAAAGCAGTGGAACACAAGACCAGCTAGGATAGGCAGTGATTTATCTTCAAAGGAGTTTGGTTTGGGAAAACTCTATATACCTATCTTAGATCTACTTTTTTTTTTTTTTTATGGTAGAGGCTTTGAATAGCAATAACTTTTGAAAGTTTGTTTTACAATTAAAAATTATGGTGAAATAGATGGAATTGATCTAAAACATTTAAATAAATAGTATTTGTATACTTCACCAAAATAGTTGTGAGCTTCTTCGGTGACCTCATCAAATGGATAATTTTTTTAAAAAAACACATTTTGCTTCTATTTATAGTATGTTCTACCAGTTTCTAAAAGGGAACCTATGGTGACATCCAGCCCATTTTATATAAGAATAGAAATAAATAATTACATTTTTTGAACAGCTGGTATTATATTTTCAGTTTTGGTGTCCACTTATTTATTACTAATTCATAGAAATACAATTGATTTTTATATGTTATTTTATATTCTGTGACATTGATGAACTTGTTAGCTCTAGGAGGACTTTTAAAAAAAAAAGATTCCTGGGATTTTCTATGCTGACAACTACATTATCTGCAAATAGAAACAGTTTTTATTTCTCCCTTTTTGATCTGTATGCTTTTCACTTGTTTTCTGCCTTGTTTCAGTATCTAGATCTTGCAACACTGCGTGGGTGAGAAAAACACCCTAGCTATTCAGTCTTAGGGAGAATGCATTTGGTCTTTCACTTTTCAGTGGAATATTTGCTTTAGATTTTTATAGATACTCTTTATTAAGCTGGCTTTCATAATTTTTTAAATCTCCTTTATCTAATATTAATATAGCCAATCCTGCTTTCTGTTCATTAATATTTGTACTGTGTATCTTTTCCTCCACTTTTACTTTCAACCTCTCTACATAATTTTATTTGAAGTTAGTTTCTTCTAGGCAGCATATAGTTTGGCCATGTCTTTTTAAAAATTTTATATAGTTTGTTAAATTGCACATTATCATCTTTTACCATTAATTTATATTGAAAGGGCCATTGTTTTAAGTAGTGTTGGCAGTTCATAATTTTATTTATTTATTCAATAAAATATTTTCAATCAATGCTCATAGGACTGTTCTTTACTTATTTTTTTATCTCCCATAGACAGAATAGAATCAGTAAAAATATTGAGAGAAAAGATCATCCCCTTATTAAGTATTCTTACCTTGCCAAGCTCTCTTCTATTATGTGATAGTTTCAGTCATGTGCTGTGTTTCATTCCATCTCTTCAGTATCATTCATTCATAATTCATAACCTTTTAAAAGTTCTGATAAAATATGTGTTACATAAAAATTACCATTCTAACCATTTTTAAATGCTTAGTTCAGTGGTATTAAGCACATTTGCGTTGTTGTATAACCATCACCACCATCTGTCTCTAGAACATTTTTATTATCCCAAAGTGGAATTCTGTATGCATTAAACAATAACTTTCCATTCTCTTCTCCTCCTAACCCCTGGCAATCACTATTCTGTTTCTGTCTCAATGAATTCGACAATTTTAGAAACCTCATGTAAGTGGAACCATAAAATATTTATATTTTGTGTCTGGCTTATTTTATTTAGCATAATATACTTAAGGTTTATCCATGTTGTAGCATGTATTAGGATTTTATACCTCTTAAAGTCTGAGTGAAATGCCATTGTATTTCTATAAAACATATTGCTTATCCATTTATCTGTCCAGGAACACACAGGTCACTTCTACCTTTTGGCTATTGTGAATAATACTGCTATGAACCTGAATGCACAAATATCTAAGTCTTGGCTTTCACTTCTTTTGAATATATATCTATAAATGGAATTATGGATTAAATAGTAATTCTAATTTTTTGAGAAATAACCATACCATTACCATTTTCCATATTGGCTGTACCATTTTGTATTTTCTTGAGTAAAATTTGTTTACTCTTCAGTATGTAAAAAATTGATTTGCTGTTGTGTCCTAAGAATTACTCAAGGTGCTAGAGACATGGGTGGTAAAGTTGAATATAAAAGCTGTGCTTCATTCACCCTTAGAGCCAAAGTTTTTAAAATATTTTTATATCAAAGTTGGAGATAAAACATAACTCCCCTAAACACCTGTCTTATGAGTAGCCCCTACTTAACCTTGACCCTGAAGGAAAAATTATCTAAAACACCCTCAATCTAATGTTCCTCCAGGTACTTCTTAAGCAGGCCTTTGTGTACACAAATACCCACCAATTGATGATGTTATGTATTTTCCTATAGCTCTATTTATATTTCTAGTATTTAAAAATTTCTAGAAAAATGTAATAAATCTACAATGATTTTTTGGCTTTCGAATATTGTCTTTACTCACTATATTATGAGTTCTTAGAGGGCAGGGACAGAATTTGTTTTACAACTGTATTCCTAATGTTAACCTCAATGCCTAGCATCATATTAAATACATATTTGAGGGTCTACAGACAAAAATAAAAATTTATGCCCTCATTTAATATTTTTATATGAAAACTATTTTTCCAAATGAAAATTTTACTATAATGTGTAATATGCTTTTTAAACTCCTGTTCTTTTATGGTCTTGGGCTTCTATACCTCCATGTACTGTGTCTCTTTCTCTCCAGTCCTAAACTAACATGTGTTCTTCATTTGTCTCTATTTCATTCTCAGAGAAAAGTGACCGTTAGGGAACTTATTTACCCCATTGTTGATTAGAAGTAAAATGTCTTTGTGTCTCTGAAGAAGTTTGGGTTATTTTATGAGATTAACTTATGGAAAAGCTATGAAACTACTCTTTGTACATCGGGGAGATACTTTGATTGTTGACCAACCTTCTATGACCTCCAGTTTTGTAACCCCTTTCAAGTTCACTAGTTATACTTTTGTTTTAGAAACAGGCTCTCACTGGTGCTCAGACTGATCTCAAATCTCCTGGACTTAAGTGAGCCTTCCACGTCAGCCTCCTGAGTAATGGAGACTACAAATGCTGCCACTGTGCTTAGCTTTCTAGTATTGCATTTCAAGTACCATTTTAATCATGTCCCCTTTGCACGCTTCTCTTAATTTCTATAGCACATATAACCTACTAACATAATTTGTATCTAATTTTCTGCCTTATTTATGATATTGAGTGTTAACTCTTTTTAACTTGATTATGTCCTTGAGGACTTGAGACCAAATTTTATATTTCTCTTATATGCCTCAGTACAAAGAAAAGTACCTCCTTTGTATGATGCTTTTATTAAGTCTTCATTATTAACAGGTTGAGTTTCAGAATTTTAATAACAGGCATGTACTAAGAACCATTTAGTTGATATGAGCTAACCCATTTCTTAGTACTGTTTTTTCTATTTATTCACTAAAATTAGTTTTTCATAACTTCACCTAAATGTTATGGCTAATTGTGTTGCAATGTATATTTTTAAATAGTCTGATGAGAGCTTCTTTCAAAAGTTTTTTTGCCTTACCCATTTTTTAAATATTTTTTAGTTGTAGATGGATGCAATATCTTTATTTTACTTTTATGTGGTGCTGAGGATTGAACCCAGGGCCTTACATGTGCTAGGCGAGCGATCTACCATTGAGCCACAACCCCAGCCCTGCCTTACCCATTTTAATCCATTAGTTGACCAAATTTCAAAGCATCCTGGATTTTTATTGCTTGTAAAATAGTTTATGACTTTTCAGAATGCAAACTTCTGTTTTTCAAATCACAAGTGGCATGTTTCTCTCCATAGTAGAATATTTAGTGAAAAATCAGATGGGAGGCTGGGGATGTGGCTCAAGTGGTAGTGCGCTTGCCTGGCATGCGTGCGGCCCCGGGTTCGATCCTCTGCACCACATACAAACAAAGATGTTGTGTCTGCCAAGAACTAAAAAATAAATATTAAAAAAATTCTCTCTCTCTCTCTCTCTCTCTCTCTCTCTTTTTAAAAAAAAAATTAGATGGGTTTCTTCCCATTACCGCCCCACCAATTTCAAAAGATAAAAAAGTTTATATGGTGAAAATAAGTTTTATTCCCTCTTAAATTTCATTCTCTTTTTTTCTCTCTGAAGACAACCACCATTTCTATTTTTTTTTTTTGTCCTTTCAGAGATAAATCATTCATGGTTTCTAAATATCTATTAGAGCAAAATAGAATGTTTGAAATGCATGTTTCATGGCATTTTTATTATTTAAACTGATTGTTACAATTCTGTATTAGTCAGCTTTGCATCATTATAATGAAATACCTGTGGCAGGCTACTGATGAAGAAAAAGGAGTTCATTTAGCTCATAATTTTGGAAGTTCAAAGTTCAAAATGAGTGGTTTCTCTTTTCTACAGTTTCTTAACCTGGAACATTTTCTTTTGTACTTCTCATAATTCACAGGTTACTGTTTAAATGAATGATTTTTAAGCTTTCTAAAATCGTCTTTAAAGTATCTGAAATGTGAATCATGGAAATCTGATATTCTCTACTCCATTGCAAAACAGCTGAAGTGAAATATTGGGGTGAAAGCAAAGTGAAACCTATGTTGAAGCTGGGTGTAGTGGCACATGCCTTTAATCCCAGTACTTCGGAGGCTTAGGCAAGAGAATTGCAAGTTCAAGACCAGCCTCAGCAATTTAGCCAGGCTGTGTACACAACTATCTGTAGTTGGCTACTATCTACATTCGGTGGGGTCGGGCTCCAAATTCCTCAATAGGACACCCATAGCACAAAAGTTAATAACTAGAATCAACAAATGGGACTTACTCAAACTAAAAAGTTTTTTCTCAGCAAAAGAAACAATAAGAGAGGTAAATAGGGAGCCTACACCCTGGGAACAAATCTTTACTCCTCACACTTCAGATAGAGCCCTAATATCCAGAGTATACAAAGAACTCAAAAAATTAGACAATAAGAGAACAAATAACCCAATCAACAAATGGGCCAAGGACCTGAACAGACACTTCTCAGAGGAGGACATACAGTCAATCAACAAGTACATGAAAAAGTGCTCACCATCTCTAGCTGTCAGAGAAATGCAAATCAAAACCACCCTAAGATACCATCTCACTCCAGGAAGATTGGCAGCCATTATGAAGTCAAACAACAACAAGTGCTGGGGAGGATGTGGGGAAAAGGGTACACTTGTACATTGCTGGTGGGACTGCAAATTGGTGCAGCCAATTTGGAAAGCAGTATGGAGATTTCTTGGAAAGCTGGGAATGGAGCCACCATTTGACCCAGCTATTCCCCTTCTCGGTCTATTCCCTAAAGACCTAAAAAGAGCATGCTACAGGGACACTGCTACATCGATGTTCATAGCAGCACAATTCACAATAGCAAGACTGTGGAACCAACCTAGATGCCCTTCAATATACGAATGGATAAAAAAAATGTGGCATTTATACACAATGGAGTATTACTCTGCATTAAAAAATGACAAAATCATAGAATTTGCAGGGAAATGGATGGCATTAGAGCAGATTATGCTAAGTGAAGCTAGCCAATCCCTAAAAAACAAATGCCAAATGTCTTCTTTGATATAAGGAGAGTAACTAAGATCAGAGTAGGGACGAAGAGCAGGAGAAGAAGATTAACATTTAACAGGGATGAGAGGTGGGAGGGAAAGGGAGAGAAAAGGGAAATTGCATGGAAATGGAAGGAGACCCTCAGGGTTATACAGTGGAGGGGGTAGAGAGAGAGGATGGGAGGGGAGGGGAGAGGTGGGGAGGGGGGATGGTGGAGGATGGGAAAGGTAGCAGAGCACAACAGACACTGGTATGGCAATATGTAAATCAATGGATGTGTAACTGATGTGATTCTGCAATCTGTGTATGGGGTGAAGGTGGGAGTTCATAACCCACTTGAATCAAAGTGAGGAATATGATATGTCAAGAAATTTGTAATGTTTTGAACAACCAACAATAAAAAAAAAAAAAAAAAAAAAAAAAAAAATAGCGAGGCCTTTTCTCAAAATGAAAAAAAAAAAAGGCCCTGGAAATGTATCTCAGTTGTAAAGCACCCCAGGTTCAATCCCTAGTACCCCCGCCCCCAAAAAAGTTGAAATAAAACAGCAAAACTATTCTTAAAGTTTATTGAAGCTATCCTATGAAACAGTTTGTTATAAACTTCATATAATTTATAATTTTATGAAATATGGATTTATTTCTTATAAAGAACAATAGAAATAAGTTAGTAACTTAACAGTTTACCAAAAAAATCGAATGTGTTAGGGTAGAACTCTTCAAAAGTACATAAAAGAGTATGCTCAGAAGTGATTACTAAATGTACCATTAGGATGATTTCTTTGAGCCATAAAATTTGATTAAAATGTACCAGGAAATGACAGAAATCAGCAGCTTCACTTACTAAATTTTGACTGTCATTACCATAAACAACAACCTAAATTAATATCTACATTGAAATTATTGAAATACTGGGTATAAAATAACAGAAAAATATTATTTAAACATGTTTGAAGGAAATTAGAATAGAAAATTCCTATATGAAATGCTGAAATTTGAGAAAATGTTAAAAACTATTCTTCTGATGTTCATATAAAACATTCATTAAAAACTATTACTAAGATAGAATAAAAATTTGTTAAATTTTTTTGCATATATTTTTAAAAGTTGTCAACTATGCTATTCATAAATATATATAAACTTTCAGAGTTTTAAAACAAAATTTTAAAATAAAGCTATGCATTTAGGACACTGACCATCATTAAATTATTTTGTTTATGGAAGGTGGAACCATTTAGTGCTTGAAACATTAATGTATTTAAGTGATTTTTTTAGACTACAGACATGTTTATACAAATGAAATGCTCTTCTCAGTAGAACTAACACAATATTATCACTTTTTCATTTATTGAAAGGATGATATCAATATACAAAACTTTTTGCATTTGTTCCACTTTAATGTACAAATGAATCACCTGAACATTGTATATAAATTCTGATTCTTTGGGTCTGAGTGGACTCTGAGATTCTGTATATCTAAATTCCTGGAGAAGTTTAATGCCATTTGTCTGGGGTTGACATTTAGAGTAATAATGTTGTAAAGAATAGCAAATGTCCAAAACAGAATTAACAATGAATGTGTTTAGTATTCTGTTTTCACAAACTTTAGTTCTTTTATTTACTAGTTCACTTTTGATACCAGGATCATTTCCTAAGAGTTTTTTAAATTTTATTTAAGCATATATGAAAACTAACAATTTTGTTTAGTAACAACCCTTCTGACCCAATCATATGAAACATTATTTAGTAACATTTATTTCCAAGTTGGAGAAGTCAGTGCAAAGTTTACTGGGCTCTGGCCTTCATTCTGGAACTCATTTAATAATAGGACCTTAGGCAAGCTATTGAACTCCCTGAGTTATTTCATCTGAAAAAAATGGAAGAACTGATTTAGATCAGAGGTTTTCAGATATTTACTCTAAAAATCAGAGTTTATTTTGTAATTAGCCAGTGGTGAAACTTGACTAAGTGATCTGGAACCAAACTATTAGAAGCAAAACCAACTTAAAGAAATTAGGCAGGCTGGAGATGTGGCTCAAGCGGTAGCACGCTTGCCTGGCATCACATACAAACAAAGATGTTGTGTGCGCCGAATACTAAAAAATAAATATTAAAAAATTCTCTCTCTCTCTCTCTCTCTCTCTCTCTCTCTTTAAAAAAAAAAAAAAGGAAAAAAAGAAATTAGGCATCAGCCCTATAATGCTTACCCAGGGTAGAGACAAACTTGTTTTTTCTCCTTGGTTGGGTGGTTTTGTTGTTTTCTTAGTTTTTAAGTTTTCATTTGGTCTGAAGGTGCTGTCTTTGGAAGCGTGGTCTTTTTTTCCCCTAATATATACACATTAGTGTTTCAAGCACTAATATAATATATACATATATTATAATAATATATATGAGGCATTTCTGCCCATAAATTTTACAAATCTTTACATTAAGCATATGTCATTCACTATCTTTACAGTGAATCAATATTCATTTAACTTGTCTTGAGTCATACTGGTATGTGGTGTTAATAGATTTAATCTATACCAAATTCAAATACTTCTTTTTTTTTTCTTTTTAATTTGTTTCAAACTGTGGTTCAACCATTTGCTTTAATGGTAAAAGAAGCATTGTCTTGTTTTTTAGAATCCAGTCATTTGGAGCAGCAACTTGAAGAAGCTAATTCTGTGAGGCGAGAATTAGATGATGCTTTTAGACAAATCAAGGCTTATGAAAAACAAATCAGAACTTTACAACAAGAAAGGGAAGAGCTAAATAAGGTAAAAATATATGAATAAATTGTTAAAGCCTTTTCTGTGTTCTTCATTTTCTGTGATCATAATACTGAAAGCATTTGTAATGAATACTAACAATATATAGTCTGTTTTAATTTTTTAAAAGTTGATCTAAAAATTTTAAGAATTGTTTTGATGTATATCATTTGATTATTATCTTGTAATGAAGACATTGAATGTTCTTAAGGCTTTTAAGGAAAGAATATTTAGTTTATTTGGAAAGTTAATTAAAAGACTTGATTAAAAGTGAATGTTGTTGAAAAAGAAACATTTTGAAGAAATATACTAGTAGAATATATTTAGTATCTATGGGAAAATTTAAAATGCAGGAACATTTTCATTACTTATTGCTGATAGGAACATTTTTAAAAGATTATAATTAAAAATCACTGATTTAGTTATTTTTACAAAATGTCAGTTTTTCTTTCAAAGCAGTATGGATAAACAAACTAAAGTCATTTTCTTAAGAACTTTGTGTAGCATTTAAAACAGTATTGGAAGCATCAACAAAATTTACTGATAGCTAAGACTCTGCAACACAGTCATATAAAGTAATAATATTCAAGCAATAGAGAAAATACCTGAACCACATAATGTTAGGTATTGTGGCTTTCATTAACAAATGAAAAAAATGTTGGGATTAACACTTTATAATGCAAACAAATGATCAGTAATTTAAGGAACGATATAAATTATATTCAATGATGTAATATATTATGCACTGATTAATATATAATGAAATCCTTCTGGGGAAGATTTATAAATCTTCCTACCAATAAAGATCTAGAAGAAATTAAAAATAACAACCTTTAAATAAAAACTGTATAATACCAAATTGACTGTTGATGAAGTTAATCCCAAAGAACTAATAGACAAAATTGTTAAAGATTAAATTGAATTAGATAAGAACATTTTTTTTTTTTTGCATTTCCTGCAATTTCAAGCAGTGGTTAGTATTGCTCTATCTAAATTTATGGCCATTTTAATAATATTTGGCATTTATAGCAGATAAATATTTTATTTGCTTTAATGATAGATAATATTTTAATATTAGTGTTTTCTGATATGAGTGGTTTAACGCCAGATTGTTTTATTGGTAGGATTTCTCAGTCAAATTTAGCTAACATAATAAAGATGAAAATATGTTACCTAGATTTTATAGCAGTAGGTATTTTTCCAGTTCTAAATAGGATCTTTTTTTTTTTTTTTTGGTAGTGCTGGGGATTTAACCCAGTGCTAGGCAAGCACTCTACCACCTGAGCTTTATCCCCAACCCTCCCTAAATAGGTGTTAATACTAAAAATCTTTTTAGAATATTTTTTGAAAAGAAAAATGCCTAAAAGAAACAGATTATATGCATAAAGAATTTTAAGAGATTTGATTAATAGGGTACAGATGGTAAAAAAGGAATTCATTTTCTCCTCATCCTTGCTAACATTTGTTATCTTTTGTCTTTTTTTTAATAATAGCCATTCTAGGAGTTGTAAGTGGTATCTTATGTGATTTTGATTTTCATTTCTGTGGTGATTAGTAATGTTGAATATCTTTTTACTTACCCGTTGACTCTGCATGTCTTCCTTAGAGCAATGTCCATTCAGGTCCTTTGCCATTTTCTAATAGGGCTAGCAAATATTCTATTTTTATAATGCCAAATTGTTTTCCAGTATACCAGATTAAATTCTTCCCAGTAATGTATAGGAGTTTCTAAGTTCAACATTATTTTGTACTTCCAGATTTATTACTTTTGACTAAACTAGTCTGAATTGAGGTTTCAGGTCTAAAATAATTTTTATTGTGATTTTGATTTGCATTTCTCTAATTACTAAAGTGGTCAGGTGTATTTACATATGTCCAGTCATCACTTATATTTTTTTTCCCAAAGTGGCTTTTAATATTCCTTTTACATTTTTCTGTCCAGTTATTTGTCTTTTTCTTATTGGTTTGTAAAAATTCTTAAAAATTTCTGGACATGTTAACCTTTTGTCAGTTATATATTTTAAAGGTACCTACCTGTGGCTTGTCTATTTACATTCTTTTACTTTTGATTAACTGAAGCTCTTAGGTTTAATGTAGTCAGGCTTGTCAGTACTTCTGTGTTAGTACATTTGTTTGATTGTACAGTATTAAGAAATCTGAGGTTAAAAAAAATCACTAAATTTTTATCTTTTAAGTTTGATCATTCTTATTTATGTCTTTAAAACCACTGGAAATTCAGTTTTTTTGTATCATGTGAGATAAGGGTCCAATTTTACTTTTTTCCATAGGACTCACCCATTGATCATTTGCTAAAAAGGCCTTCCTTTTACAGTATTGTGGGATGTCACCTCTCTTATATATATGAGATTTTCATATTTGTATAAGTCTGCAACTCTATTCCTTGAAAACTGTGATGGAATTGTGATTAAAATTACATCAAATCTATAGATCAACATCAGGAGAATTAACATAATATTGTGAAGTTTTAATTATTAATATTCTGAGTGCACACACAAAAGTGAAGAGCAGAGCAGATTGTTAACAATTACATACAGCAGATATTAACCACATGGCTTCCTTGTATGCCAATTTTTATCTGTAGGGCAATGCCCTGAGAGCTGGCTGGATGAAACCCTTCACATGAGAAATCTGTATTGTGAAGGAGGAACCTCAAAAACATTTACCAGGTGTTAATAGAGAAAAGAGGTAGCTGCTTGCTTCTTAATCCTATTCCCCCTTTCGAGAGAGTCTTCTAGGAAGTGTAAAGTGAAATTTTGGGTTGTTTCTCTAAGCCTTTGGAATATAAATTAATTACTCCAAAGAAAAGATAAGCTGGAGGTTCTAGCATCACAAAGAAAAAGTCTCCATTGTCCAGGTTGTCTTCCACTTCACCTTGAAATGCTAACATGTTTCCTGCAGAAGGTAAATCTGGAGTTTTCTCACTATTGAAATTAGTCATAAATTACTTTCTATAATTGCATTTAGTCTAGGTCCCAAGTGTCAATAAAATTTGTTCAGAGGTCTAATAATGCAATAACAAAAATAGTTTTTCTGCATTTCCGGTCTTTTAATCCATAAACATGATATCTTTTTGTATACTTCAAGTCATTTAAAATGTTCTTTCATAAAATTCATACAGGTAGTGTTTTCTTTTCTTAAATTTATTATTCTATTTTTCCACATTTTAAATGAGATCTTTAAAATTTATGTTTTCTCTATTGATTTTGTTCTCAATAATATCATTCAACTCTTGATGAAAATGGGATATAAAAATAGGCTCCTTGAAATTTTCTGGAAATATGGACAAATTTTTTTTCTCCTTTTGGATGTTTATAATTTCTTTCATTGTCTTATTACATTAGCCAGGACTTAATGTTGAGTAAAAGTGCTGATAGCAGGTATCCTTACCTTTTTTTTTTTCTCTCCTTTAGTAGTAGAGATTGAACTCAATACCTCACTCACTGAGCTGTATCCTCATCCCTTTTTCATTTCATTTTTGGGGTTGAGACTTTCTACATTGCCCGTAATGGCCTTGAACTTGTGATCTTCCTGCCTCAGCCCAAGTAGCTGGTATTACAGGTGTGTACCACAACACCTGGCTCTAAAGGAGAGTACTTTTTTGTGTGGTTGTTCAGGGGGATCAAAATTAGAGCCTCACTCATGCTAGGCAACTACTCTATCAGTAAGCCAAATTCCCAGCACAGCAGGCATCCTTATCTTGTTCCTAATTTTTTTAAAATTTGTTTAAATTAGTTACACATGACAGTACAATGATCTTGACATATCATACATTTGAATCAGATGGGGTATAATTCCTCATTTTTCTGAGTGTACAGGTTGCAGAATTGCATTGGTCATGCAGTCACGTATATACCCATGTCTTTGATATTTTACTACTAATAATGCTTGCTCTTAAGATTTTAGTAAGTATTTTCTAAGATGTAAGGAAATTGCTTTCTATTCCTATTTTGATGATTTTTTTAAAATTAAGAATAGGTATTTGCTTGGCCTGGTGGCACACACCTATAATTCTAGCAACTTGAGAGTTTGAGGCAGGAGAATCACAAGTTTAAGGCCAATCTCAAGCAACCTTTCAAGATCCCTGTCTCAAGACAAAAACATAAAAACAAAAAAATGAACTGGGCCAAACATGATGGCATACACATGTAATCCCAGCTGCTGGGAAGGTTAAAGCAGGTGTTTCGCAAATTTGAAGTCTGCCTGGCAACTTAGCAAGACCCTGTCCCAAAATAAAAAAGGGATGTGGTTCAATGGTTAAGCGCCCCCAGGTTAATCCCTGGTACAAAAACAAAAACAATGAACTGGGGGTATATGGAGCTCAGTGATAAGATGCCCGTGAGTTCAAACCTAGTACCCTCTCCCAATGGAGTGGGCATTGAATTTATTAAATATGCATTCTGTACTCTTATTGATAATTATTATATTCTTTTAATGATCTGTGCAGTTAATTACATTTACAGACCATTTTTATTATTAAACCACTGTTACAATTTTAAAATTAAGCCTGAATTGCACATTATTTTCCATATAATAATGATATATGATAGTATAGGTAAAATCTGTACAGCAAATTATCTCCTCTAATAGCATTCAGATTCTAAGTGCTTTACCTATGTTAAATTGTTTAATCTTCATCACAATCCCATAAAATAGGTATTTTTGAAAATTATTCTTATTTTACTAGTGAAACTGAATATTGAGAGAATAAGTTGCTCAAGATTATTAGAGATGGAAAGTGATGGAAGTAGAATTTCAATACATGGAGTGTAGCTCCAGAATTTGTGTATATTAACATATATCACTGGAACTTATTTCCTCGTTTTAAAAGGACTTTTACCTTTGTTTCCATTAATGAGACTGGCTCATAATATTTCTGTTAACCTTTCTTGAATTTTTTTTGGTCAAGATTACATGTCTAGTAGAATCAGTTGGGTGACATTGCCTCTTTTTTTTTTTCCTCTTGAAAAGATTGTATAGACAAACTCTCC